AATTTGAAATTCAAAGTCATTCAAATTTGAATTCAAAATTATTTCCTTAATTAGCTCTTCTATTTTAGGAAAATATTTGATTTAGATCTAATTTTGAATTTTAAATTCAATAGGATTTAAATTAATTATTTCCTAATTCTAAAACCTAAATTTGGAATACTTAATTGCTCCCACAATTTACTCTCCCTGCTCATACATGCCGCCGGCCCTCTTTACCCTCCCCATTAATCCCCTTTTAATTTATTTCCTAAATCCAACACCTCTCTTAGGAAATAATTCTAAATTCACAATTCCCTCTCGGCTGAATTTCCTCAATCCCATCCTGTCTACATTTATTTCCCAAGTCAATTAATCAGCTTAGGGAATTCAAGTCCCGCTCCTCCATCAGCCCGCCGTCCCTCTCCCTAGCCTCCTCTCCCTCTCAAATCCCCTCACCACCTGTAGCTCTCCCGATTGATTAATTCCTTACCTCTCAACATTTTAAGTTCTTCTTTCCTCTTCAACAAAACTGAGAATTTTCTCAGTTTTCTGAGATCAATCCAGAAATTATTTCAGATTTTTGGAGAAGACAATTTCAGATTTGGGAAGGAAGCTTGGAGTTCACGCATTGCCGCTACTTGAGAGTTATCCTTTGGACCAGAGAGATTTGTTTCCAAGTATCAATGAATGCCGGGAGCTATGGACAAGTACAACGAAGGCACGACTAGAGAATCGCCACGATTCCCTAGCACAGGTTATCCTTAACACTTACATTCAAATCCTTCTAAATCCAAATTCTCGATTGGCTAGATTAATCATGAAAGCCGCCTCCAATTGCTCTCGCCAAAGCTTAGTAAATCATAGGAATTGAGTGAGCTTTCTGTGCATCCTAGATCTCATTGTTAGATTAGGGATTACGTTGGAAGCTACTATTCTGTGTTGTTATTATTTTCTTAATTATTCTTGAATGTTCAAAATTTGTCGCATGTAATTTAGCCTATGCAATATTAACTTCCTCTTTGTTTAATTCACCGTGGATAATTGCTAGTAATTTTAATCCGAACTTATTCTAATCAACGAGTTGTGCAAGGCCTAAGTGAAACTCATAACATTGCATCTAAGTAGTCCTGCATCACCAGCGGTACCCAACGGTACCGAATGCCGAAACCTAGTGCGGAATAAGACTTGTGAGGACGGTTCTCCCCGTCCGCACTCCGCACCTAATAATCTATCCTTATTAACACCTCATGCGAAACTAATTTAATATTATAAAATTCTTTTGCAGGCAGCTGAATATATGGTTCAAATCCAAAAATCAGGGAAACGATCTTGATTCCATAAACAAAAAATTACTTTGTAATGTGTTCATGATCTTATTCTATTTGTCTTGCTAATTATCCGTCTATTTCCGATAATTATTAAGTTAGGCATTTTATTTGGTTACCATTTTTTTTTTAATTCCAACAGATTATTGTCCCCTCAAAATTAGGTCTCGATCGTATCAATGTATGTTGAACATTTTCTGATTTTAGGGATTACCGTAATGAAAGAAGAAGAAAAATGAGAAGAAGATGGAGAAAAATGAGAAGAAGAATGAGAAGAAGATGGAGAAGAAGAAGAAGAGGAAGAAGGGGAAGAGTCTCACACTGAAGGATAGCGAGCAAGATGCGAGCGGGATGTGCAAGCGGACGGGCATTTCCGATGGTAATGAATGGCCGTGTGTTCCTCCGATAGCAGCTGCGACGCACAGCAGTGGTTTGCTCCGCTAGAGTCACGGACACATACACACAAAAGAAGAGGAAGAAGGAGAGCCAAGCAGATCGCGCGCATAAGATTGGGAATTAGAGATTCTTTGTTTTAGGGCAGGGCTTTACGCACAGTTAAAAGAGGTGCTATTTGCACCGGTTAAAACCAGAGAAATTTGTAGCAATAAAAAATGATGCTAAAATAGGGTTTTAACAGCAATTTAAAAACCGCTCCTAATATCTGCTATGAAAAATCCAGTTTTTTAGAAGTGACTTATTGGTTTCATCACATTGTATTATTAATAATGATAACACATGCCATCACTTATACAATTGATGCATGTCGTCAATATCACCACTAACTCCCTTTTTTGGTGATAGATTCCTGTCAAAAAGCTCTTCCAACTTCAACCACGTTATATATTCTTTGTATTATATTAACGACATCCCCCAAGGTCTTTTCTTGTAATTAAATACAAATAATAGTAGAATCATTTTGATTGGGTCGTACCCCATGATTTTTCACCTTTTTGAGATTTTCAATATAAAAAATTTGGTGCTCTTATGATTCTCGCTCGCACGGCCTCTTTTTATCTATATTTGTACTAAATCTTCATATAGATCTATAACATTAAAACTCTCTCTCTCTCTCTCTACTATGGTGAATAAATAATGCCAGTTTATTTCATGTCTAAAAGTAAAATTGAGGCTTCTTTATATAGACTTTGACCAGTAATTTTGCTTGCAATATGCAAAATTGAGGCTTCTAATTTATAGATTATAAGAAAGGTTTTTAGTTCTAATTAATTATAATACAAAATGCTCCTTATAATTATCAACAATAAACACTGCAAATTGCATCGCTCCATGATTGAAAAGAGTTAAAATGATATTGACCCTAGTTAATCTAACTAGCTAGCCAGTCAAAATTGGGGTTAACCCAAGCAATCATCGATGGTTTTAAATGGCCAAATTAAACACAAATCTATCTCATTATTTTTTGCTTTGCTTTAAAATTTGCTCTTTGAATTAAAACTAATGATCAGCGAAGCAAAAATTTTTATGATCCCAACAAATATCATATATGCATCTACATGCATGAGCACCTTAAACTTAAGGATATTCATAATAAAATCCCCTACAAACATATAATTAATAATAATCATTCTCTTAATATTTGGTTTTTAAATACAAATTTGATATAGACTAATATATCATCAAAAATTTATCTTGATCGGGCACGAATCTTGAAGCAAAATCAAGTTTGAAATTTCAAAATTTTTATTGAAAACCATATGAACTCCGATTTCAACAAACTTATAGTCAAGTTGAACGTCTCGAAAATATGAACCCAAGTACACCAAATCCGACTCAATATGAGCCCAAATGAGTCCCAATTCAAGCCCCGGAGCATATTTGGAAGGTTCAAACTATAATTTGGATTACCAAATGGTTTTTAAACATGACATGCTTATAGTCAAATAGAGCGGCTCAACGAGACAAATCCAAAGAGCCCAAGATTGTTGAATTATGATATCATTAAAGCATTCAAATGCTCAATAAATAATCATTTATTGAGGAAATCCACATCGACCGTCCATTCAAACCACTCCCCAATTATCCTTGATCTCCCTCCTATTTACTGGTCATGCCACTTTAAAAAAATTATAAATAGATCCCTCATTCCTCATAAAAAGGGAGGAGGCAGGGACCCAAGTAAGAAGAGAATGAAGATTTCTCTTGGCACCAGACTCCTCGACCACCGTCGAACTTTAACCAGGCCACCAACTGTCGCCAGACTTTTGCCCGGCTAACGACGGACGCCGAATTTCTCCCCAGCCACCAACTAAAGCAAGATTTCTACTCGGCAACCAACTGACGCCAAACTTTCGCTCGTCACTAGACTTTCATCCCTCGTCAGACTTCTAACTGTCATCGTACTTTCGTCAAAATTCTACCCGATGTTGAACTTCCACCTGTCACCGGATTTCTACCCGTCATCGGACTTTCGTCGGACTTCTACCCGACGCTGAACTTCCGCCTGTCGCCGGACTTTCATCAAACTTTTTCCCGACGCCAAACTTCTATCCTTTGTCAGACTTCTACCCGTCGTCGAACTTTCATCAGACTTCTACCTGATGTCGGACTTCCGCCCATCAACGATCCTTCTGACCTCCTTCTCTAGACAACGATTTTTTTGATCTTCATCACTAGCCGACTACGGCCTTCCCTCCAATGAAAGCCCTCATTTGTAATCAACTGCAAATACTAGTGGATTCATTCAAACTGGGCTAGGCCTTTTTCCCCCTTTAATGGTTTTCCATATTAAAAATTTCGGTGTCTCTTATGAATGTTACTCTCTATTCTTATTTGTATGCGTGTTAGATCTTCGTACAAACTAAAATGTTAAACTTTATAGTTATATATCGCCACGAATATTCGAGGACGCAACTCAGACAATATTCAATTTCAAATTCTTAACAATATTTTAAAAATCTTTCCCAAATTAATTAAATGACAACCACAAAATAATCATTTCTAATTTGGTATGACAGCTAATTGCAGGCATATACTAACATTGCATCACCATTATAACACAAATATACTCAACAATTTTTCTGAAAATTAATTCCAAAATATTTATATTCATTTAATTTTTTATTATTTTTTATTATTCATTTATTTATTTATATCAAAATATTTTACAAAACCATATGAACAACTGAGACCCTACGGCTCTCAAATTCATTAGCCTTCCCATTATTTATTATATTATTATCATAAATTGATTTTCTAATTTAAAAAAAATGATATATAATTTTAATTAAATCTTAATATAATAGATAGCGTCGGCCTGATCACAGCTGTCGATAGACCTCTCTATCACAACCTTCCAACCCGACAAGGAAAAATCTTATAGCTACCATAATAAAATTTTTATTAATGCCAATTATTTTAAAATTATTTAAATTATTTTAAAATAAATATTCAGTTATATTAATCTTTAATATTTTTTTTTAGCCAAATAAATATTCCTATTGGAAATTCCATTTATAGTACCGTGCTCTGCTTGCCTTCCAAAACGAGGTGAGATGAAAAAAGGACAATCGTATGAACGATAGATTACTAGTTTATTTCGATGGCGTCAATCTTGAAGCAATCTAAGGGTGGATTGGAATTTTCTTAAAGTTACCGTTAGGGACCGGTTCATATTTGGTAACGGAAGGCCGGGCAACGGTAACAAGGCGGCTGGTCTATATAGGCAATCTCTGACCAAAATTTCTTCTACTGCTCATTGGAATTCTTCATATCTCGTTTGCTTTTCCTCCCTCTGGTTTTCTTCTTCCTCGGTTGCTTGCTGTTTGTATCCTGTTACTAATAAGAGCTGAAAGAGCTTCTTCTTGTGTTGCTCTAATGGCGCGGCTTGTTCTGCTGGCCGGTTTCTTTCTCGGCCTGGTTTGTTGCACCGAGGCTTATGATTTCTACGTGGGGGTAAGAAGTGGCTGGGTGTTGAAGCCTGCTGAGAAGTACAATAGCTGGGCTGAGAGGATGAGATTTCAAGTGAAGGATAAGCTTAGTAATGATCTAATAATCAAACTTTGATGTTGTTAATGCGCATATTTGTGAAGTAATCCTATTACCGGATGTTTGAAATTTTTTTTTGTTTTTTGGTTTCTGCAGTTTTTAATTATAAGAAAGGGGAGGACTCTGTTCTTGTGGTGAAGGAGGAGGATTATGAGTCCTGCAACACGAAGAATCCGATAAAGAAGTTTGAAGATGGCAAATCTGTGTTTATTTTTGATAAATCGGGGCCTTTCTTCTTTATCAGCGGCGCAGATGGCCACTGTGCTCAAGGGCAGAAGCTTATTGTTGTAGTCATGGCAGTCAGAAATAAGCCAGTCCATCCACCGCCGACCTCCTCTCCTCCACCATCTTCTCCTGCAACTCCTCCTTCTTCAGCTTCTACACCGTCTCCATCCCCTGTTCCAGGAGCTAAACCTCCATCCTCTTTTCCACCATCGATTTCTCCTTCCCCTGCTCCGGTGGTGAAACCTCCAACATCTTCTCCCTCCCCAGCTCCGGCGATCAAGCCTCCATCTTCTTCTCCATCTCCCGCTCCGGTGAGTAAGACTCCATCCTCCTCTCCCTCCCCTTCTCCGACTGCTACATCTCCGTCCTCTTCTCCATCTCCTGCTCCAGTCACTAAGACTCCATCCTCCTCTCCCTCTCCAACTCCGGATGCTATATCTCCATCCTCTTCTCCTTCCCCTACCCCGTCTTCCTCTTCTTCTCCTGCAATTTCCCCTGCTTCATCCCCTGCTTCATCCCAAGCAAAATCTCCTTCGCCTTCTTCGACTTCACCTGCAACCCCAGCAGCTGGACCGGGAGCATCGGAGCTTTCACCTCCACCTACTTCTTCGACTCCAGGAAGCGGTGGAAGCAGCGGCGGCAGTGGGGTTCCGGTGACACCTACTCCCTCCTCCAACTCCACCTCAACCCCGACGTCCTCTTCAGCTCAAACTAAGTCGATTTCAAGACTACCTTATGCGATATTTACTTTGTTCTTAGGAGCTGTTGTTCTGTTTTAATTTTTTTTTTCCCTTCATTTTGTTGAATTGATGATCATATGATGTTCTTTTAGTGCAATTTGTTCTTCCCCTTTTATTAATAAAAATACAGAATTAAAATTGTTGCCTTTTATTTATAATTACAGTAAGTTCATCAACGTCAATTACTAAAATTTTTAAATTTTTGAGATCTAATAACATCAAAGACATTATTGAATGCTTCAGATTGCCTAATAATATTGAAATATGACGGGCCATTTGTCTTTTCTTTTGATCCACTTCGAATCAAATGTTGATAAATAACAAAATAATGAGTTAATCAGTCATTGACATAATAAATTAATTGCTTCCTGATCTAAAAAATCATTGTTTTCTTACTTATCTTCTTAGAAACATTTATCATTTTCTTTTGGAATGTCGCATTGTGGATCCTAACAATTATGTCATTGTCAACTTTTATGAGCTCTTAGCTATTCTAAAATTTCTTCTTACCTTATAAGTTCTCATAATATTACCCTACATTATTTAGCTTGGTTGGTGGGCGAGTACGGTTGAGAATCTCTCAACTCGTGCTCGATTCCCCTCGAGCGGCAACGCCTCTAAGCGAGGCCCAATCAAGTGCGGGCCAGGAGGTTTCTGGGGTGAGTGGCTCTTCTAGATAAGCTGAGGATTAGTCACACCGCCAAGCATCCTTTTAGGGTGGCAGCACGTGGATACCCGGTTCTAAAAAAAAAATCTCATACGTTCTAAAAAAAATCTCATAATATTCTTAAAATTTATAATAATTTATTAATAAAATTGTAATATTAATAGTTTATTAATATTTCAAGTCTTAAAGACTAACTGCGATATGATAGTTTGGTGGGATGGTCTTTGGTTAGCATTGTCCACTTTGGCTGTGTAATTAATGTCAGGTCAATATTTGATATTGTCTTTAGGTTATTATCTTGTAGACTTTGACAAGTTCTTCTGTCATTTTTAGTCAATTTTGCATAATTTTTTCTCTTTTTGTTTGTTATGATAATGATGTTAAATAATTAGTTTGTTTAATTTTGATTTGATTCATTCTAGAAGGAATAATAATCAACATTTTCTTATTTTTCTACCCCTTTGCACCTTCATTAATTGTAATAGTAAATAGATGAGGAGAAGGGGAACAATTATATTTTATTTCTGAAGAATATAATTCAAATAATGCATTAATATTTATAAAATAAACATTTATAATGCAAGTATGAATTCATTTAAGTCAAAATTGACATCAAAGAATTAGAAAAGCCTAAATACTTCCTCAGTATAAATGTCTATAATACAAAGAAAGTATTGTCATCAATCGATAAAGATATATATTTAATTTTCTCAAAGAATGGATAAAATCACTGGTCCGGCCGATCGGAATGGCGAAACATAGAACCGGCGCTAGTTCTTAAGAGCCGCGTGGTTCAAAAACGGCGGGATTTTGAGACGTCGATTTCAGATTGAATGGCTAAGGAGTTAAGTTAAGAAAATGACCTAATGTAGACCTCATTCGTTCCCATCCCGAAATTCATTTTGCTCGCGAGTCGCATGTATTACCGTTCATCTCCCGCTCGTTTTGATGCTCGTTGGTGATTCACGAAATAGACAACGACGAACTCACTTCACCAATGCAATATTCTTCTCCAGCATGACCATGGAATGTAAGTTTTTTTAACCCTAAATTTATAGCTTCTCTAATCTTTGATTTTCTGCTGCGCATGTTAAACATCTTCACAATGACATAAAACTCTATTTACTTGATGAATGGGATGATTTTTTGCTGGATATATTGGATGTTTCTCCCCATTCAGCATAGTTAATGCTTGAAATTAAGTTTAAATGGTTATATGCTTAGTCATTATTTTTTAATATTATTAATATTTGTTATGTCAGCCGTTTCAACCTCGGTTCGATAACTCAGTTGAACCATCAAACCGTGAATCCCTCCTTATGCTTCGTTGTCAAGTCTAGTTTTCACAACCTTATCAGATGGCAACCCTTGTGAATCTTCTTTGTAGATAACGATTATGATTTTTCAAACAATTTCCTACTAGGCTCTCATCCCTTATCCATTCTAATAAGACTATCATGCTTGTAGTGATCCTTACTCACCCCTCGCATTGGCACCTGAGCATCAACGCAAGCTCTAACCATGTTTTCAACCTCCTCGAATGAATCTCCTCTGATATATCAGCAAAAAATAGTCTTGATCCGGCATGAATCTTGAAGCAATATTGAGTTTGAAAGCTTCCCAAATTAAATATGGAATCATCCAAACTCCGATCTTGGCAAACTTATAGTCAAACTGAACGTCTCAAAAAAATGAACCCATCGACACCAAAACCAGCCAAATCCGAGCCCAAATGAGTCCAAATCAAGGGTCCAAAACATATTTGAATTGTTCAAAGCTCAATTTGAAATACCAAACAAGCTCTAAAGATGACATGCTTAAGTCAAATCGAGCGGCTCGACAAGACAAATCCAACGAGCCCAAGATCACTAAATTTCAATATCATTAAGGCATTCAAAGGAGCAATATCGGCCGTCCATCCAAACCATTCCCATTTTGACATTGATCTTCCCTATATTTACAAGTCATGCCACTCATAAAAAACTATAAATATCCCCCATTCTTATCATGAGGGGGGAGAAAGGAGGAAGATAAGGGAAGAATTTGGGAGTTTGCTTGTTGTTGACCACCGCCTGAGTTCTTCCTGACCACCGATGGACTTCCGCCAATCCTCTAACCACCGTCGAAATTCTTTCCGACCACAGAAGGACTTTCGCCCATCCGCTGACCACCACCGAAGTTCTTCCCGTCCGCCGACCACAATTGGAGTTTTTCCTAACCATCGTCGGACTTCCACCCATTCGTCAACCACCGCTGGACTTCCTCCTGTTCGTTGGCCATCGCGGGAGTTCTTCTTGACTTCCGCTCATTCGTCAACCACCGCCGAAGTTCTTCTTGACTTCCGCCTGCTCATCGACCATCGTCGAAGTTCTTCCCGACTTCCACCTGCTCGTTGACCACCGTAGGAGTTCTTCCTGACTTTTGCCTATTTTTCAACCACCACTGAAGTTCTTCCCAACCACCATCGGAGTCTTCCCGACTTCAGTCCATTAGTTGACCACCATCAAAGTTCTACTCGACCACTGCCAGACTTATGCCCGTTCATCGACCAGCGCCGGAGTTTTTTCCGACTTCTTCCCATTCATCAACCACCGCCAGAGTTCTTTTTAGCCACCACCAAACTTCTGCCTTTTCATCAATAGTCGTCGGGATTCTTTTCGACCACCATCACCATAGACTACAGTCCTCTTAACCTCTGTCTCCCACGACAATGGTCCTCACGGCCTTCATCACCCGCCAACTATGGTCCTCCCGACCTCTATCGTTCATCGACTACGGTCCTTTCTGACCTCTGTCGCCTTCCAACTACGGTCCTTCCGACTTGTCTCTCGTCGACTACGATCCTTACGACCTTCGTCGCCCGCTAACTATGGTCCTTCCGACCTTCGTCTCCAGCCGACTACTATTTTCCCGACTTGCGTTGAGTGCCGACTATGGTCCTCCCGACCTCTGTCACCCGCCGACTATGGTCCTTTCTGACCTCCGTCGCCTGCCAACTACGATCATTTAGACCTCCGTCTCCCACCGACTATGGTCCATCCGTCCACCATCGCCCGCCAGCTATGGATTGTCAAACTCTGTCGCCTTCCGACTACGGTCTTTCTGACCATTATCGCCCGCTAAAAATGGTCGAAAACTATGATCCTTCTGACCTACATCACTCTTCAACTACGATCCTACCGCCCAAATGAACATATCAATTCTGATTCTTCCAACTCCCACTTTACAATGCACTCTGTATGATATATATTTGTTATATCTAGCCAAGATCTTCCTTCTAAGGAAAGGCATCATTTATAATCAATTGCAAACATTAGTGGATTCATTCAAGCTATGCTTTGTCTCGTGGTTTTTCTCATTTTCCAGGAATTTTCACATAAAAATTATGGTGTCACTTATAAACTATATAATTCTCTTATATGTTTGTGTGTTGGATCTCTGTACAGAGCTAAGACACTATATCACTCTTTACCACCGCGAATATTCCAGAACTCAATATCCTCCATCCTTTAAAGTGAATTGACGTCAATCCTTTCAATGGTGTTTCTTTGGTTATAACTTACTGTCATTTTATCTTGTATGAATTTCTGAGTACTTTGGCTCTAATTTAACATCTAATCTTATATTCCCTTTTTGATTAATAATATTTCCTCAATTATATAATAATAATGATGCATTTCCTTCTAATGACAAAATTGTTTGGTGCTCAAATGATGGCATTTTCATTCTTCATATCCCTTCATTTCTACTAAAGTTTTTCTTAGCCCTTATTATCATATGCACTTATGATTTTCAAAAAGATAATTTGACTTTGCTATTAAATTATAAATATTTATCAACATTTAAATTTAAGAACTTAAATAATAAGTGTCTCTCTATCTTGTTAAGGAAAAATTATTAGGTCAGGTGACCTGATGTAGCTCTACGTCCGGTAGCCAATAATATATCGCCACGTGCTATTACTCTTTACCGCGCGGCCCGACGACCCGTCTCGCACTGGAATCTGGGATTACTATGTTCGCTAATTGCTTAGTATTTGCTCGGTATTGCTAGGTATTACTTGGCAATAACGAGAAATATCACTCTGTTAAGATCAATACAGAGCAATACCGAGTAATACCTAAAACAACTCGGTATTGCTCGGTATTTGTCTTCACAAAATGATATTTTTCGTTTTTGTCGAGCAAAATCGACCAATACCTAGCAATACCGAGCAATACGCAAACTCCCGGGTCCGTTCCAGATTGGGTTGTTGGGCCGCGCGGTAAATAATGAGAACACGTGGCGCCTGTTTACTGCTCATCGAATGTAGAGCTACGTCAGTTTATCGGACCAAATAAAATTTCCTTGTTAAGGGGCATGCATTAATTTAAATTCTTTTTTGTTTTAATTCTTAGGAAGAAAAACAAAATAAATCAGTATTTAATTCTTAGCCGCTTCCTTCCAAGAAGAAATTCCTCTTCCACAGTTCCGCCCAATGTTTC